TTTACATATATACACGATAAAGTTTAATTATAAACTAAGCATAGTAAGAGATTAACAACAATAATAGAACAGTTATAGCAACATAGTGTAATTATAGAAGTCATTTAAAATGTTCAAATGGTTTATTTCTGGAATTATTCATTTAATATTTTTGGACCATGGGCATTAAACTATGGAAAGCTAAATCACAAGTACGAAGGGACTGCTATATAATTTGTACTGAGTTTCTACACGCTGAGATTAATTGAGCTAGGTATGACTTTTTTACTATCCCTTCTTTTTTGTTGTAATCCCAAAATCTTTAAAGGAGACTTAGATTATTGCTATTATCACAAAACATCTCTGCATTGCCCAACCAGTGTTTCTGGTAAATACTTCTGTGCAATTCTTGGGTTAGGAATTCATCTCGAGATACTCCTAATCTAATCATGTGCATTGAAAGAATTCTCCACACCTGTTACAGCTGCATTGCTTATAACTTGGAGTAAATGCAAATGAGCCATGAGAACAAAGCAAGATTTCAATGTATTGGTGGTACAAGGGAAATAACATTGCACTTTAGATTTACATATTTTTTTATAGAAAATACCTTAACAGGTATCATTTCACACATTATCATAGCATTCCTGGGAGTTGGATAGATCTGTGTATTGCCAATATACCTTTAAAAAGTTAAGTGATACTTAAAATTTGAATAATTTGGGTCCTCCATCTATTGCATAATGGAGTTAAAAATGGAAATAAAGTCTCAGTCTATCTACAGGTCTTGTCTCCTCAATACTTTCAGGTATGTGTGTCACCAGTCTCCAGGTTCTCCTGGGCAGATCAAAGACTCAGTTAAGAAAGAAGGGAAAAAGTGAAAAGTAAATGAGAGAAGAGGTAACAAATGATATTGTGAAGAAAGCACCGGTAAATGTTTCTAGTGCTGCATTGCATTGTAGTACAGGTATCCAGAGGGTGTACTACATGACATCATTAACTAAGGAGAGTGGTGGCAATTGGGGACTATCTGAAAGAATAGGATTAGAATAGGAGGAAAAAAATGGTCTTTAAAAGTTTTTCAAATTGTAACCTGTAAAGTACATCTTCCAGCCGGGCATGGTGATGCACACCTACGATCCTAGTGACTTGTAAGGCAGCAGGATCATAAGTTGGAAGCCAGTCTGGGCAAGTTAGTGAGACCCTGCCTCAAAATAAAAATAATAATAATAATAAAAAAGGGCTGGGGTTTCACTTTGTAGTTCAGTGCTAGAGACACCCTGGGTTCAATCCCCAGTACTAGAACCACACACACACACACACAAAAATCTTCCATCTTCCTATCTATATAATAAAATAAGGTTAAAAGTAGCTATTACTAGTTTTCACTTTTCAACTCCAAATCTTGTTAATGTTTAAAATATTGGTCTGAATGTTTATGCTCTCCCAAAATTCATGTGTTGAAACTTAATCCCCAATGTGGTAATATCAAGAGGTGGGGCCTTTTGAGAAGTAATTAAGTCATGAGGCCTGAGAGTTCCTGAATAGGATTAGTATAAAAGAGGTAGGAGGGAACTTGCTTGTCCCTTCCATCTTGTGAGAGAGCTATAAAAGTTCTATGAAGAAGACACATCAAATAAGCTGGCGCCTTGATCTTGGAATCCAATCCCAGCCTCTGAAACTGTAAGAAATAAATATCTGTTGTATATAAGCTACCTGGTCCATGATATGTTGTTATGGCAGCCCAAAAGGACTAAGCCAGACAGGGCAAACTGCATTGTGTCTAATAGATGTCCTTGTGCTTTGGTAATAGATAAAAATAATTTTGTAAAACTGTAGAAAAAGAAAAATCATTTGGTCATTATGTTCATAGATGAATACTTTCACTTATTCACCCATTCAATTAAGAAACGATGGACCTCCTTCTATGTACCAGTCACTTTCCTGGGAATGAGGGCAATGATAGTAGGCTTACAGTCTCTTGTGAGTGATGTTAAGAAAATAGGTACAATTTTTGTGAGAACTTTGATAAATTAAAAGTGGCTTTGGTGATGATCAGAGTTAAAGGATTCTATAGATCTGTTTGGAAAGCCTGCATCAGTAGGAGCAACCTACTGATATATCTCTAGGCTCAGAGATATATATCTCTAGGCTCAGAATAAAGACTAAAAATTAAAAAAAAATCTAGTTCAAAGAAATTTATGCAAGAGGTGGTGCAAGGCAGGATCATGGTGGCAGAAACATTCATTCATTTTATCCCCAAAGAACTTATAATCATCAAATCTTCCTTCCTCTAAGAACAAGAACTTTCATATTAATAACAAAAAATTTGAATTTTTATTTTCCTGTAGATTCTGACTGAAAAGCTGGCCTAGACTCAGTTCCTACACATTTCTTAAAAGTGGGCAAAGATATATGGTAGGAGGACATTTGGTTGCTAAAGATTTTAGCCATTTTTCTTTTAAAGAATGCATTCTTCAGATATACATCCTAGCATGATTTTTTAAAAGAAATTAAGTAATAAACTGGTTAAAAATCTGGCAAAGATTTTTAAATTAGTCCTCTTTTTGAAGAAAAAATTTAGTACTCCATTTATAGGCTAGTATGGAGATAGTCTCCAAGTACTTTATTTAAGAAGACAATTACCTATTGTATTATCTTTAGAAGGTGAGTTGGTATATTTTTCTTATTTATCTTCTACATTGCTTAATGTATTCAACGACACTTGATGAGTTCAGGTCCCTGGTGTCTTTGGACAAAGGATTATGGGATAGATATTTGCTGTTTGTGTTTGACTATAGTAGCCATTTATATCTTTAATATAATCTGAATATTAAAAGATTTATTAACCACAGCTCTGGCTCTTCTGAGACATAAAAAGTAGACATTATATGAATGGTTGAGAGAAGATAAACAGTGGTTATTATTAATAGACTTGTTAACTCAATGCTCATACTTTTTGGTCTTAGTGCTTTTGTGAATTTCATTGATGCAATGTACCAGTAATAACAATGGTGCTCGATATTCTTCTTAAACTTTTATTTGGCTTGGTACTAAGCCTTCTTGCTTATGAATGTTAGGCAGCTGAGCCATTGTAATCACTGAATTGGTTTCAGGTTTGTGAGGGTAGGATGCTGAGTTCACTGACAAAGTCTGGTATCACCTGGGGCTCAGCAAGTGCCATTGCATAGAGCATAGAAAAACTATTGTGTTTATAACTACTGATGTGAACTTAGAGGCCACTGGAGATTTTAGAGTCTTTATTCAATTACTTGGGCTGTCATGTCTGGGTGTGTCAGCCTCATGGTTGACCATAGAAGACATATTTGTCTTCTGAATAATGCTGGAGCTGTGGCTTCTGGATAATAAGCTTCAGTTTTTGTTTGAACATCTTCCTTTTAAAGTATCATTGTGGCTAAAATTCCGAGTTTACCGGAAGGCAAAGTTCATCAAGTTTATTTAGTTAGTCAACTAATTAATGCTTTTACATGCACAAGAGGGAGAACTGACAACGATTCTTTCCTTGACAGAACTTGAATCAGGCTCATCTTACACTCTTTATGATTTGGTTTCAAACCCAGGACTTCTGTGTCCATCCTTGTAGAGTACAGTTCTAGCAAGAATCCTGCCTTGTCAGTTCAGCAAGAGTCCCAGAGCCTTCATATCAGTCCCTGATCCACTAGAGCATTCTTATGCTAATTTTCCATCCTTGCTAATCTGCTCTGCCATAGGCACTCCATAACAGATTGCCCTTACAGGGGTAAGGGTAGTTTCCTCATCCTCCAACATCCCCAGGTAATAGCTTATCACACCTTGTCCTCAGCAAGCCAGAACCCCCACTTATCTCAAATATTTTATTTTAGTAACTCTCTATCCACTGACCCCCACCCTGCTTTGTGGATATGAATTCCCACTTTTCCTTGTTGTAGCTGGAATTGAGCTCAGTTCTAAACTGAGATTTCATTTTTCCAGTTGCAATAGTTTTTCTGACTAAAATCTATTTTTACTACTTTAATTAAAAGCCAGCTGTGTTTCTTTTTGTTGTTGTTGATTGTTTGACAAACCTATGGCTTCTGATTGGCAGGCTTGGATTTTTGTTTGAACATCTTCATTTTTACGGTGTTAGCATTGGCCATAATTTCGAGTTTATTGAAATTCAAAGTACGTCAGGTTCTTTCAGTAACTCATTTAGTATTTATTGTCAACTGAGTTGCTCTGGAAGTTAAACAGTGACCCAGTCCTATAATTAAGTGTATATTATATATCATAAACTCTGAGGTCTACAAAGATATTTTGGAAATAGAATGTTATTGGCATCCTCTCCAAAAGAATTCCCTTCCAAGAATATAATTACTTACTTTCTTATTTTCAGTAAAACACCTTTGGTATTGACTACATATGCATTTTTAAAAACTGAAGTATGAATATTTTATAACATGTTGATTTAATTTGCTTAAAAATTTCAACTTTTAGATTCATGTTTAATCAGACTGTGGTTTGCTAGCTTCTTGGTGTAATATTTTCTAATTATATCATAGAACAACAGAATAAACTTACTGCAAAATTCAACATATGTAATTTTGTTCCATATTCCATCACAGTAATTAAATACAATTTGATGCTGAGAGCTGTTCTTGAGGGATTTTATTATTTTTCTCCTTCTGTCCTTTCCCACCTTAAGGAAAATAATTCACAAAATAAGTATTTTCCTATGACAACTTATCAAGCATGTCTTCCTTTATCATTTTGAAAATACTAATTATAATTTATTAATTTTTTAAGGAGACATTATTTTTACATTAAATGCTGTCCTTTTTTTGAAAACATTCTTCTAATGCAGAAATCTGTCATTAACAAAATGCTGAACAATTAAAACAACTGGAATGAGTGCTTGTATTACTACTGGCCTCTTAAACTCATTTCAAGTGCTAATAAAAATTTATAGCATTCTTATGTTAATTTACCATCCTAGCTAATCTGCTCTGCCATAGGCACTTGAATTTGCTTAGATTAAAACACCAAACACACACACACACACATACACACACACACACACACATACATTCACTCCCAAACACACTCGCACAGGTTTCCTTTCCCATCATAAAGTAACATTTCAAAAGATTAAGTCTTTCTGTAATTGACTGGACAAAGGGCCACCTTTTCTCACCCAACAGGTTAAATACTGCATAGCTAATAGATTGGAGCAACTTCTGATCTACGACATCACAGAGGAAAACTTTGTCATTTTTACTTCATAAGTAAGTCATCCATTTTTCTTTCTACTAGTAGGGAAAATCAGGTGTAGTTTTGTGGAAAAGGATTAGAACTTCTGTAATATGCCACATTTTTTTCTTCAGACAACCTCCTTCATTTTTTTGAGAAGCATTTCTGGTATTTCATTATATCTGGTAGTGGTTAAAAAGATTAAGGATTAGCAATTTCTTTAGCTTTGACAATCTCCAGGGGTTCAAAACATGTCTGGTAGACACTCAGAAAGTTAAAACAAAGGCAGAAAAAAAAAAAAAACAATGAAAAGGAATAATAATAATAAAGAGTAACAGGAAATAAAAAGGAGTTGATAGAAAGTTACTTCAAATGGCACTTATTTCTCTTGTTGAATTGTTTATAATCTCTATTTCTGGCCAAATTATTTATAAAATATTATGATTTAAGAAAAAAAATTCTGGAAAAGTCTTGCTGAAACGTTAAAAAACACATGTAAATTTTTTTAAGAGAAGAAATTTGCACATTTCCTGATTTTGCTTTTATGCTGATCTCTTATGTTTGTTCAAAATGCTTAGGTTGGATTCCCTGAAACTTGTAACTGGAGGTGATCTCAGCCTCCTTGTTGAAATTGTGAATTAATCTATAAGGGTAATGACTGTGGGGCCTATTGCTAACAAGGGATTTTTGTTTTTATATTTCATTTTAAAGCATGACTCCCATCGTATTTATGAAGTAATTTATATTAAAACTACCTTCATTATCCAGAGGCTTCCTAAGCTGAGGGCTATTTGTTCAGTATTGTAACTATGTATATTTGTCCTGGGGATATAGGGTAATGGAGACTAAGGAGGCTCCTTGTGAAAAACTTAGACCTTGGGACTCTCTCCTTTGCCCTTTGCTCCTTTTGGTAATGCTATGCTTTTTTTTTCCCCACCAGTTATAATCTTGTCTTAATCAACATTTGCCCATATTTCTAAACATTTCCCTTTATGTGCATAATTATGAGTCTATGGTAGTTTTAATGACAGGAAGGTGTGTCTGAATTCAGTTCTTAAGTCCACTGAGATAACAGATACATAGACTGGAAATACCAAAAGGATAGATTCTGGAGAAAGTGGCCTGACTGACTTCTTTATCTGTTAGTCATGATTCTCAAGAAGAAAGCATTTATCACAAAAACAAATCATTTGCTGTGGAAAAGCAAAGAATTAACCAAGAAATTTGGTTTCCTTTATTCCCCTCTGTTCCCAATCTCAAAAATTTGACCCATCCCATAACATCATATTGTATACCTTAAATAAATACAATAAAATTTAATTGTAAAAAAAATTACCAATCACCAACTCCTTTTTCATAAAAACATAATCTCCTTCTACAAACATTCTGATGGGGAATAGGAAAATTTATGGTCGTTATTTTTTTTTCTGAGGAAGACGGACAGTTTGTCCTTGCAAACTAATTTTTAGCATTAAATTTTGTTTTGTTTCCTCTTCTTATTTGAGAAAGTGTATGGTAATTAGATGAAAGAAGACTAGATAAAAAATATATAATGGATTCTCTGGAAGTATGAATATTATTTCATATATCTGAATTTTCTTCAGCTCCTTAATTATGGGCTTACATGTTTTTGTATGCATCAATTTAGAGTGTAAGTGAATTTTTAAACTTTAATTCACACAGTAGTTTAGGTATGAATACCTTTGCATGTTACTTCACTAGCTTTATGTTGCTTCATTAGCTGCACAAATTCCCTCAGTCTGAAGTATGGCATTTAAGCATTTCTTACCATTGAGTATTGAAATTACTTTTTATCTTTTCTCATTTTATAGATTTACAATACACAAAGATGAATGCTACATATGTAAATATCTACACATAGCTGTATAATTTTTATTATAAACTGCTTTTGGAATTCCTCAGACAAGACATTCCTGGTTCAAAGGATTTAACCAGCATGAGTTCCAGTGATAAAATTTCTTACAAGAAGAGTTTAATCTTAAATAGAGTTGCAAATGTATTCAATTCTTAATTTTGAAAGAAAAATTTTAAGGGGGTGTAATTGGCTTACCAATGTTTTAAGAAAATATTGAAAACCAGACTGCTTCTTGCCTTGAAACTAACTGCAAGACAGGTGCAGTGGTTGGCTGGACGTAGAAAGCAGGCTTTTGGACCAGTACCATTGTTGGGGTCTTAGCTGGAGCACTTTAGAAACAATTATTCCAAAAAATGGGCAAGGAGGACACTGAGGAGGCAACTTTAATAGATTTAGATTGAGTACAGATCTTAGGATCTTAGTACAGAAACACATGAGATAAGAAGTGATATAGATTCAATGTATATGGAATATATACATTCAGATTCCATATATATGTATATATACATATGCAATAAATATATATTAAATAAATAGATCCTTAGGGATTGAACCTAAGGTCTCACACAGGCTAGGCAAGTGTTCCATCACTGAGCTACATTCCAAGCTGCAATTTTAAAGTAGTTTTGTGCATGGACCAGATTTCACAGTGTGGAATTTTTCATTTGTAGCTTGATATTGGTGCTCAAAAAGTTTGGAATTTTTGAGCAGTTTGGATTTTGTATTTTTGAATTAGGGGTGCTCAACCCCTGTGCTAGTGGATAGATAAAGGTCAGCTATTATCTGGGGTTAAATCAGTCCCAAGGAAATGAGGTTCTCTAGCAGATACTTTAAATAAAAAGAAGGCACTGTTCTGTATCTAACTTCTAAATCTATCCTCAGTTCTGTGTCCTGAAACTTTGTTTGAAGATTTATATTAAAGAGACATTTCATCCAGTTGATTTTTTTTTTTTCATCCAGTTGATTTTTGAAGGAGAGAAGTGGCTACCTATTTCTGAAGATTTCTATGGGTAGAGATCTTATCAGTAGGTTCATTCTACCCTAAAAGTTCATGTTTTTACTTCTTAATATTAAATGATCATATGGAGTTGAGGTTTGAATATTAATTTCCTAAGTTTGGCGTTTCCTCTTTCCCTGAGACACAGGAAAGCTAATTCTTTATTTCATTATCTTTTCCCACTCCCTGCCATTCAGCTATTGGTGTAGATAGATAGTAATTGAATTTTTTTGGAGATATTACTCATAAGATTTGTTGAAGCTTTACCCTGAATAAGAAAGTTTATAAAGGTTTAAACTCTAAAGATCTTTAGCTACTCTACCATTCTAAACATGAGGGAAAAATTATGATCTTTAAAACGTGACACTAATCATTGTTTTAAGATTATGACTATTGTTATTTTTAGAATATTTTCTATGAATGGCTAAGTGATTTGCTATGTAAGGACAACATTTTCGACAACATAATTCTCATTATTTCTCTATGTAGTAGTACTATCTCGTTAAAGAGAAAAAGCCTTGTTTCCTCCTCAAACTAATTTTTTTTTAAACAAAAAAAACATTTAAACATGTCTTCTTAGGTTGGGGATATGGTTCAGTGATAGAACACTTGCCTAGTATGTGCAAGGCCCTGGATTCAATCCCCAGCACCACAAAAAACTGAATAAAATAAATAAATAAATAAATAAATAAAATTTAAAAATAAATAAATAAAAATAATAATGTCTTCTTGCAGGTAATTTTTGCAACTATCAAGGGATGATTAATGCATTATTTCTTATCCTTGCCTCAGACTATTTTATGGCCCTACAAAATTTGTCTATAGCACTTCACTTTGTCTCAATCAGAATAACCACACAATCTTGCTTATCAAACACTATTAAAAAGCCAATATTTATATCTTGCTTTTATTAAAGTAGGCTAAAACCAATTCTTTAAGTAGAAGATGTGGAGTAGTAAAATGTTTTATTAACTTAAACGTAAGAGAGTATATTACTGTAAGATTTTGATCCATCAGTGTTCCAAAAAGTACTTTGACTTGTCACTTGGTAGGAGTTTTTGGTTGATTCAATAGTTTTGAACACACTTTTGATTTATTTCTTCTGACAAAGTGGATTTTTTCTTCTTCCTTTCTGTCCTACTTAAAAATAAATAAAAAGAAGAAAAAAAGAATTAGGAAAATATGAAATTTTTTAATTCTATGAGAGGTTCTTTTTAATATTTGGCAAACCACTAAAAAGTGGTCTGTCAAGAAGAAATTAATGAGAATGAGATTCGACTTGGAATCTATATTCATTCAATAGGCTTTGCTTGGTCCAGCATTCTGTACACCTGGAATGGCAAAAGGAAAAATAATTATATTGAATTCTCTGCAGGCTCTGTTATGATTTGAGAAAATGAGACAAATGTTAACTAGTATAGAATTTGTATCACACATAAGTGAAAATCATATTATTGACTTAAACAAAATAGTTGGTCTTTTATCTGCTAAAATGGAATTAAACTGTTTTCACATAAAGTTGAGAACCTGGTAAAGCTTACTATCTTGGATACAGTAATGTACCTTTACAGAAAGTATTATATTTCCTTTTTTTTTTCATTTATAGATGATGCAACTTTCAAAACATTGCTGAAACATGAAACAAGAAGAGTATTTAAATATAACATAATTATTCTACCTCTTTACCCGTCAAAGTGGCCTCATTCTACTATATTTCTTCTGTGCTCATATCTTGCATCAAATATTGGATAAGCTAAAGTGTGGAAGAAGAAATCACTGTTTTTCATAGTCATTATTCTGCAATGGGAATGCTGACTTTGAATCATCTATTTGTTGGGAGCTTTGTTGAGTCCAATGGAGCATCCCGTACAGTGTTCATCTCCCTTCTGATTCCATGTTGCCTGACTGTGGATTTCAGTGCCCCCCCTCTTATCCCAAATATGCCTTTCCTCTGGGTCTGGAATGCTCCAACTGAAGCTTGTACTGGAAAGTTTGACGAGCCGCTAGATATGAGCCTCTTCTCTTTAATAGGAAGTCCCAAGAAAGGTATCACAGGGCAAGGTATTACAATATTTTATACGGACAGACTTGGCTATTATCCATACATAGATAAGACAGACACAAGTGTGCATGGAGGAATCCCCCAGCTGGGGTCCTTACAAAAGCATTTGGACAAAGCTAGGAAAGACATTTTCTTTTACCTACCGGTAGACAACATGGGCTTGGTTGTCATTGACTGGGAAGACTGGAGGCCCACCTGGGAAAGAAACTGGTCACCTAAGACTATTTATAGGGAAAAGTCTATTGAGTTGGTCCAGCAACAGAATTTACGACTGAATATCACAGAAGCCACTAAGATCGCCAAAAAAGAGTTTGAAACAGCAGGAAGGAGATTCATGGAAGAGACTTTAAAATTGGGCAAATCAGTTCGGCCAAATCACTTCTGGGGTTTTTATCTTTTCCCTGATTGTTACAACCATGACTACAAAAAATCCCATTACACCGGAGCTTGCCCTGACATAGAAAAGAAAAGGAATGACGATCTGCACTGGTTGTGGAAGGAAAGCACCGCCCTTTTCCCATCCATTTATTTGAACAGCAACTTGCAGTCATCCTCACTAGCGGCACTCTTCTCGCGAAATCGTGTACAGGAAGCTATTAGGGTTTCTAAAGTGATTAATGCTAGAAACCCACTTCCAGTTTTTGTATATACCCGCCTGGTTTTTACTGATCTTACTTTGCAATTCCTTTCTCAGGTAAGTAAATCAAAGTAGCAAAGTTTCAGAGTTATGAAACAGGGTCCATACATGGTGTGCAGTGAGACCGAAGAGCATTTTTGTGGGAAGTAAAGTTTAGCTTCTGATGTCACTTAGTCATACGTACAAGAGTAGTTCTAAGTCATTATATATATGAATGCAGAATGAGAATATTTTCTCTCTTTCATGTAATATCATCATGTAATCTCTCAGCAACCATGCAACATTAGGTAGTATACACAATATAGAAGCTCTATCTCCTTTTTTCATGGGTCTGCTCTCTTGTCAGTAGAAGTAATTAAGACAAGAATTCTCTATTCTTTTTTAATAAAAGGGATGTGGATGAAGAAATATTTAAATTACTGTTGTCAAAGCAGCAGGCTCAGCTTTGTAGTTAATATCCTGTGCATAACACTTTCATTTTGTTCCTCTCTGCTCCCTCTTTCTATCACTTTCACCAGGTTGACCTTGTGAATACAATTGGTGAGACTATTGCTCTGGGAGCCACTGGAATTGTAATATGGGGAACTCTTAGTTTAGCACGGAGTATGGTAAGTTGAACTGGTAAGAAAAAGATGAAGATATTTCTACCTTTAATGTTTTGGAGAATTGTTGTGTGTTAAGTAAGAAAATCAGTGTTATACTTGGCAGATAGTAAGTAGTAGGTGCTCAATGAATATATGCAGAATTGAACTATCTTGCATTTGTTTGGTTAGCTTATAAGGCAAAGAATATTCCAGTGAGAAATCAGAAATTCGGTGAGATTAATTGAAATTCCCTGAAGCTAGATGGCTTGTTAAGTAGCAAAACCAAAGCCATGATTTCAGTTTTCGGCGTGGAGTTTGGTGTCAGAAGATGAGTGTCTATTTTCATTCTTGTTTAATTTTCCATATCAGGTCTTTGCCCCTTCTTCAATCTTTGTGACTTAATGAAAGTGAAAAGCTATATATGGGGACACTATTAAATTGGAGCCAAACTTTTCCTTTTCTGATGGATATGGAAATACTAATGGTGAATGTCCCATGGAGAATTTCACATGCAGTTCATGGCCTGAGGTCCTGTCCTCAGAGCATAGACATTGTACTCTAAGACCGGTATTATGTCTGTCTTATGTCGTTTAGATAGACTGGCAATATTCCTACTTTGTTTAAAAGTATAGTAACATTTGTGAAATTGTTTTAAAGTAGTCTTAGAACTTTCACCTATTTTAAATAAATATATTATCTCCAGTTTGATCTCTAATGAGAAAAAAGAAACAAAATACAAATCCAGGGAGAGATATATGTCTCTAGGTAATACCTTTTGTATGTGAGAATATTATCTTAAAATTGTGATTCTCCTAAGTATATTCTCAACTTTTATTACTTGTTTTTCCAAATCCATGAACCCCTTTCTTGGGGATACTATTCATTCTATGATGGAACAATTCATGCATACTCCACATAACTTCCTTAGGAATAAAACCACCCTTAGTGTTTTTTTAAAAACTCCACCCTTAGTCTGATGAGTAATGAATCAGACATTTCACAATAAGTAGGATGTTATGATATACTATGTAAGTGTCACACTTGTTTTCTAATGTCACTTTAATCTTAGATTCATATTCTTTTAATGTGCCTCCCAAATCATCTTCAATATTATTCATTCATGCAAGGGGCATGGTGAACATCTATAATTCCAGGCACTCAGGAGTCTGAGGCAGGAGGATTCACAAGTTTCCAACCACCCTGGATGATTTATTGAGTCCTGTCTCAAAATAGAAAGGAAAAAGGGCTGGAGATATTGCTTAGGAGTAGAGTGTCCCTGGGTTGTATCCTGAGTTTAAAAAAAATAATAATTCAGGGACAGTCCTTTGACTTTAATAGGATTATTTAATTAATTCACTATTTAATGGCACTGTCTCAACATTGTCCCTTATGGACACTGTTCCATACATTTCTGCTACTTTTCCCAATTTATGATAATTTTGAAAGTTAGTGTTATCATTACTTCTCCCTTTTTACATGTCAATAGACACACAGGTCACTTGTCATGTTTCCTCTGACCATTGAGAAATTGAGAAACTGGTAATTGTAGATTTACTTGAAGTTGCTGGAACTGACCTAAAACAAGAGTTATGTAAACCATTTCTTTCCACTCCTTTTCACTAGACCCAGCAGTGTGATGGAGCCTTTTTAACTGGCCTCAGCTTGTGATACTTGATTGACAAATATTCAGAAATTTTGTGAGCCAGTTGTTAAAACACTGTCACTATTAAAAAATTAAATCATACAAACTCATAATAAAGTAAATTATTTTTAAAACAAAGGTATTCAAAATGTACTGATTAGTACATTAATAATACATGTCTGAGGTTATTTATATCTGTTGGAAATATATCTATTGCCTCTATATAAAAGGAAATAATATGTAACAGTTGCTACCTAATAATGCACACCATACTGTGTAATGGTGGTGTACTCAATTACCAGTTCTGCATTCAGTAGTATCAGATTGGTACTTGAAATTGACCATTGTAGAAGTATCTACATCATGATAAATTTTCAAATGTTGTAAACTAGCCCTTATTAATTAAAGAACCAGTTTTAGATCTTTCCATAGGCTACACCTTATTTAGACTAATGGGTTTCAAATTATTCTCATCTTTTTACTCCTCTGTTTACCTACCCCTATGGATTTGGGGAAGCCAACTGCAATGTCACCTGAACTTGGTATAAATTCTTCTATGTCCTTGATATTGGGAATGTAATACTGAAGAATATTAACAAAGTCTTTGCATGCTTAGAGTGCATCAATAAAAACATTTGGAATGATAAGTACTATACAGAGAATTAATAGAGAGATATGAGTTAGCAAGAAAACTTTCTGAGAAAGGTACGTCTAATTATAGAACTGTCAGAAGGACAAGATGGAATAGTCAACTATGATAAAAATTGGGGGAAAGAGCCTTCCAAGCAGAGGGAACAGTAATGCAGTTTGAAATAAACCTGGTATGCTAGTGAAACAACCACTGTGTTGAAGGAGAGTGGTGGGGAGGGTTGTACAAAAGAAGGAAGGGTTACACCATGAAAGACCTTATGAAGTCAAAAGAAGTTTTTATTCTAAACTCCATGCAAATCCATTAGAGAGTTAGAAGGCAGATGGTTTTATTAGTTTTCTATTGTTACCATAAAAGTTATAATACCTAATGTCTTAAATAACAGATATGTATCACCTTTCAATTTTGTAGATGAGAAGCCCAGCAGGGTCTCCACGGGTTAAAATTAAAGTGTCAGCAGATTGCATTTCTTTCTAGGAGGTTCTCCAGTTGCTCATCTGGGTATTCAGCTGATTTAGTTCCTTGTGATTATAGCAGTGAAATCTCTATCATCTGAAAGGCCATTGGCTAATGGCCTTTCAATCTTTGAGAAGTCCCTACATTTTTCAGCTCCTGCTTCTTTTCTTCTATCTTCAAAGTTAGCAGTGGTAATTTAAGTTTCTTCTACATTTTGAATCTCTCCCCTTCGTTCATCTTATCTTTCTAACCCAGCTACAATCATTTCTGTACTTTCAATGACTCATGTCATTAGATTGAACTCTTCCAAATAAGTCAGGTTAATCTCCCCTTCACATGCTACATTCACTCAATCATATCTACACAGTTTCTTTTACAATGTACATTAACATCATTACATGTTGTGGATTAAGGTACAGCCATCTTTGAAAGGTCATTATTACTCTAACAATAGATGATATCAGCTCAAAGAAAGTAATAAGAAATATTAAAAGGATGAGTGGGAGCAGCCAGTACTCTTTTACTTGCCTGCCAGGGTACCTTCACCATGCCCTGTGATCTGCTGAAGGAATAACAGAGCCAGTTAACTCAATGAAACTGCTGAACATCAAAGTGACTATCTTTGATGTCTTTGAAAGGATGATGTCCAGATTTTAAAACACCCCTGTCTCAAGATGAATCATTTTAGCCATTCATCATTCATACTCTGCCAAATTTATAAAAGAGCTGTCATTACACAAAATTTGACTCTTATGTAACATTTAATCTAAAATATACTCAGTTGAACCTGTTTGGTTATTTTGAGCCATTTGGAATTTCTTTTCAGTGCTGTTTAAATGTGTCTGACAAATGTGATTCTTATTACATTTATTTATAACTTATTGAGGGTTAATTGAAAATACGTTAGGTCCTGTATTAAGATTCATACACATCTTTTCTTTTCATCTTCAAAACAACCCTTTGAGATAGATTCCAAAATTACCTTATTTTATAGGTGATGAAACTGAAGCATAAAGAATAACCAAATTATCTAATCAAGGTCACCAAAATAGGAAACTTAGAAGCTTGAGAATCCCTAAGTTCATAAAGTTGTTATTGATGAAACCGGAACTGCAGTCAGGGCAAATGAACCCCAGGGCAGATATTCTAACAGCTGTACAATTCTATCTGCTTGATTAATTTATGAATTATTGAGGAAGACCAAGACTTGGATATGTTAAGCTTCAACAGATCAATTATTCAGTGGCATGAAATGGCATGTGAATGTTACAAAAATAGTGGAAATAACTTTGTTTTTTAAGGTAAAAAGAGAAAATGTTTCCTGTTTTTTGGTGTGTCTGGTTTGCTTGTTCTTAAAAAAAATGCTTATTACCGTGAATTAATTTACATGCGAACTAACTTATACCCTGATATTGTCTTATAATTCTACAGAAGGCTTGCTTGAACCTACAGGATTACATGAAGATTACACTGAATCCTTACTTAATTAATGTAACCCTAGCAGCCAAAATGTGTAGCCAAGTGCTTTGCAAGGAGAAGGGAATTTGCATTAGGAAAAACTGGAATTCAGATGACTATCTTCACCTCAATCCAAGTAACCTTGCTATTCAAATTGGGCAAAATGGAAAGTACATAATACATGGAAAACCCACATTTGAAGACCTACAGCATTTTTCTGAAAAATTTCATTGCAGCTGTTACACTGACTTGAATTGTGAGCAGAAATCTGATTTAGAAGAAGTTAAGTTTATTAATGTGTGTGCTGTTGAAGACGTTTGTATAGACACCTCACTAAACCCAGATTCCAGTAATAAGACTCCCCCCCGTTTGGAACAGGAGACTCCTCCTTCCCAAAATGAGAAGAATGAAGGTTTGGACATTGGGGAGAGCAGCGGGGAGAGCTGGGAGAGTGGGGAGAGCGGGGAGAGCGAGGACAGCAGTGAGTCCTTCACATCCTCTGCCACAGTGTCTCCACAGATTCCTAGGAACGACATCAGTGGAGGACTCTTAATTCTATACATGTATTCACAGCATTTGAAATATTTGGCATAGGCTCGTGGAAACTAAACAATGCAAGATAGTAGGTGTCATCTTACAAAAAGAAATCCGACTTGAGTTTCAAGAGCAAAAGGTCTATTTTTGTATCAAAGACTGATTGCAGATTCTATAACTCTGGAAGGATTAGTTTTCTTCTGAGAACAGTGAAGATTTGAATAAAGCCAAGTTAACTGTAAATAAATGCCTCTATGAATAGTTTGTGATTTGTTAAAAAAATACGGTCAGAATAAGAAAATATTAATAAATAGTCATAATAAGCAGTCATAATCATTAAAATCCAAATAATCAAATAATGAATAATAAATAATAATTAATTAATTACTAATAAATGGAATAATACAATAATTAATAATTAATAATAAATAAATAATTAAAAGTCAAGAAAATGTTAAGGTGTGGTTTTTAAAAGGTAGCATGCCATATGTACCAATCTATCTCACAGAACTATGGTTTTTAGCTATTTTCCTTTTGGAAACAGTGCTCCAACTGTATTTTAGGGAAAGGTAAATTTTAGAAAATGATTTCTCTATATTTGCACATAATGACGTCTCCAGAATTCACATTTATAAAAATATTCTAATTTTCTTTTCACTCTTGATTTTCATACCTAAAATGCCTCATTTCATCTAGGTATCCATGTACTTGGGCATTCATATCCTTCAAAGAGCATTTTATCCAGTGCTCATTCTCTGCCAGGTTGGGCACTAAGAGTCACAGATGCAAGATGAAGTGGCATGCTTCTTGCCAGCTGAGTTTCTTTTGTTTGAAGAAAGCAGAAATTGAGTGTGGAAAACGATAACATAGTGTGTTGTAAATGCTATGATAAGTTTAGTATGCTCTGGCACGCAAATAAGAATTTGGTGTGTCAGAGGTTCCTGAGAAGAGGTAGTGTGTAAGTTGCCTTAGGGTTACACAGGTATTAGGTAGTCTCAGAGAGAAGAATCTTCAGAATGGAACACTGAGTGTGGTGATGAGTCATTTAAAGCAGATGATGGCCAAATGATGAACCACACTAATAAGCTAAGGATTTCACAATGATGACAGTCTCAGTCTTTATACCTGCCCAATATTCCCCACTTCTATCAAGTGCTCTAGAGTAAAAATCTGGAGGACAGGTATTTGTTCTATTTTGCTTACAGCTCTACCTTCAGTGGTGATGAACAGTACCTGGGTTTTCAGGGGGTGCCCATTAAGCAGTTGTGGAGAAAATTAAAGCCATTGGAGACTCACTAAAAGATTTTAAACATGAGAATGGTTTTGACCACTTTTCACAACCTGAGAACTCTTGGACCAATGCTGTCCTCAGAGTTTTTCAGCTGTCTCCCTTATTCTCCATTTTAATTATGATTCTTCCACCCAAACTGTGTTTTCATAAGTTAGTCATGAAAAGAAACAACTTGATAATGACCTGGGAAAGACATTTAATGGGCATCAGAGTAAAAACCGATTAGGACTTAGAAACAAAGGAGGAAGCAAGGCCAATGGAGAGGGAATGGATTTTGGAATTGTTTTAGCTTTTTTGCCACTGTGACCAAAAGACCTGACAAGAATAATTAGAGGAGGAAAGGTTCATTTGGTTCACTGTTTCAAAGGTCTCTATTTAAATGACAGCTGATTCCATTGCTCTGGACTGAAGGTGAGGCAAAACCTGGTGGAATGTGTGGCAGAGGAAAGCAACTTAGGACATGGCAACAAGGTAGTACAGAGAGTTCTACCCACCAGGGACAAAATGTAAACCCCAGAGGCACACCACCCACGACTGACCCACCTGTAGTCACTCCACAACTGCCTACAGTTAATACCCAGTTAATCCCAACCAGAGGATTAATGCACTGGTTAGTTTAAGGATCTCATAACCCAATCATTTCACTTCTAGGCTTTCCTGCATTGTCTCACACATGAGCTTTTTGGTGATACCTTACATCTAAACCATCATGGGAATTGAACAATTTTAAGGGAAAATTCTAACTTTTAATATTTGTTAGATGTATGAACCCATGAGAGTTAATCTGGCTCATCTTACATTTTAATAAAAAGTATAATAAAATATACCTTTTAGAGTTCCTGAGATTGGTTAATATAATACGCAAAAAGCAGAAATAACAAATACCTGTGGGGAAAAGGGAATGAACACCTTTCATGACTATACAGTTCTGTGGTGATTTATATGTTAACTGAAATGAGCAATATTTTCATTTTAAAGTGTGCTTTTTAGACTAATTGGTAGGAAAAACTCCTGCTGAAATGTTATTTTGGGAAAGTCCTTTCTGAACTACTCCACCTAGTAAATATTGGTTCCATTTGAACTTGAAAAACTGCAATTTTGCATGAATTCTCAATCCTGAGTTCAAGATCCGTCATATCCCAGGCCCCAACAGCTTTCCTATCAGTATCCTACAGTCTAGAGGACACGGACTCATATCCTCTATTTCACTTGTAAAACTGCAGGGTTGTTTCAACACAATCATTCTGCACAAGGTCCTAACATGTTGATGGAATTAAATTTTGACATGAACCGGTAAGGTACTTGAAAGTGAAGCACCACCAATAAAGCTAATTGATAAAATTTAGACAACCTAGATATCTCTCTTTTATCCTCTGCTTGCGATAGATAGATATAATGAAGGAAGGAAGGAAGGAAGGAAGGAAGGAAGGAAGGAGGGAGGGAGGGAGGGAGGGAGGGAGGGAGGGAGGGAGGGAAAGAAGAAAACAAAACAAGGGAGTTTTCTGTGGTTCCATTGAGGACATAATTTTCACTGGGTTAAAAGGAACTTCTGATTCAGACATTATTAGCCTTCAACTTCTTGTTAAAGTATTCAAGAGATGTTGCACTTGAATACCTGTTCTGACCTTCACAAATGTCACTAAGCTTTCTCCCTTTCCTTTTGCCTCTGATACCCTTTTAGAAACAAAAAGAAATAAAGCCACAAAGCAATGGTACTGTTTGGGATGTTGCCAAATCCATCTTCTTTTCTGTACTATCTGATTATGTTACAGTCAAAGGCACTAAGGTCTTAAACTCTTTAAGGCATCCAATTTTCTGTAAGAAAAAGGGAAATGTTTATTTTGTTACAGAACTTGTTTCTTTAAGTTTTAATATCTGAGTTGAAAGAGCTGTACAAGCAATTTAAAAATGATTTGGCTGGGCGCCTTGGCGCATGCCTACAATCTCAGAGGTTTGGGAGGCTGAGGCAGGGAGGATAGCGAGTTCAAAGCCAGCTTCAGCAAAAGAAAGGCACTAAGCAACTCAGTGAGACCCTGTCTCTAAATAAAATACAAAATAGGGCCGGGGATGTGCCTCAGTGGTTGAGTGCCCCTGAGTTCAATCCCTGGTATTCCCCCAAATGATTTGAAATATTATTATATATTTAAAACTAACAATTTTTAAACAATTGAAACACTGTGTAGTATTTTATATTATGTTAGTCTGCAATCATTTTATTTTTGTAAAGTCATCGTCGTTCAAGGCAAAATAATACAAAGTAGAAAACTAATAGTCTCCTTCCCTCCCTCTTCTAGTGATAACTCTTGGTTACAGTTCCATGCTTATAATTCCAGAAATTTCTAGAAATATGGATGCAAATGCATGTGTGTGTGTGTATAATATGAAAACAAAAACAAGCTTTTAAAAGAACATTTCATTTTTTATTCCTGTATATGTTTCAAGTGGCATCTGACCATGATAATTATTATATATTTAAAGTACAAGAGTCACAAGTAGTTATAAATTCAACTATCTACTGAATTAATTTACTTTATGGGGTCATCAAATTTCAGTTTTGGGAAATAACTTTTGTGCATGTATGGTTCTGGGGATGAAGCCTAGGACATTGTGCATGCTAGTCAAGTATCTCTGAACTCCATTCCCACTCCAAATAACACCCATTTTTTTTCTTAACCACTGAGTTACATCCTTAGTCATTTTTTATTTTGCATTTTGAGACAGGGTCTCACTCAGTTGCTTAGACTGGCCCGGAACTTGTCATCCTCCTGCCTCAGCCTCCTGAGTTGCTGGGATTATAGGTGTGCACCACTTCTCCTGGCACAGCTCTTTTTAAGAAAAGTATCATTTAAATAAAATTCTAAAACCCATGCACTGCTAGTTTCTCATAGGAAATCCAATTGTTGACCACAGAATGGCTGGGAAAAAGCAAGCAATGCTAGTTCCGTTATTTGTAAGTTGCTGAGTTTGAGTAAGTTACTCATCCTCTCTGAGTTTGCTTCTTCAACTATAGAAGGTCAACTGTGGAGAAGACTAGAGCAAATAAACAGAAGTCATCAGGACAGTGCTTGTACAAGAGCACTGTGTGCTCTAAGCAGCAATAGCTATCTATTTGAAACCTTTATATACTTCTCAAAAATTCCCCTCTATTCGATGATTTAAAGTTTACATTTGGAATATAAAATTGACTTGATAGTTTCAGTTTGAAGGATAGGATATTAAGTAAAATGCATTTATAACATGTTTAACTTGACTACAGGCTACAAGTTAATTCTAGCATAAAGTGCTATTTTATTGATGTACTCTATCTTATGACTGATGTGTTACATCTGTAATTAGATTCTATAAAAATTCAAAACATTGTCCTAATACAACTGTGTTCACTTATTTGGTCTCTAGTCATTTCCATATAGCACATATCTAATTAACAAATAGTAGGTGGATCACACAATTTTAATTGAGATAGATTACTTCTATCCCAATTTGCTAAATCTAAATCGCAGATATAGGGACAAGGATAGGCTTGGATCAATACAAAATTATGCAATTTTTAGTGTATAAATCATTACAAATGACATTTTTGCTAAGTTTTAATTAAAGATGGGAAATAGAAACTATTTTTGGGTTTAGCATTTATACTGTATCTACCATTTTGTAAAAGTTGGGAAACATCAAGACCACATAGTATGTGGTACACATGTGTTTTTGAGTTAAGTATACTTTTGTATGCTGTAGAAAACTTCAGCCACTAAGTGGTAAGGGTCAATTTCACTGACTAATAATATCAGTGATGTATTGTTCCCACAGAGATGCTGGGAATTAGCCTGGATGACATTGTCAATTACTGCTCTGTAATTCCTCAAAAATAGGAACTTCTCTCTCTTACTAAAGACTTAATCAGGTGCTTTACATACAACTTCTAGTTTAATTCTATTTTCCAGGTTAAATAACTAAGTCTT